GGAGGCCGAGTATAACAATGATTCTATTGACTTGTGTTAAAATCTTTTGCTCCAAAAGTAACATGAGGTTAATTCTTAGCGTGTGGCCAAAACAAAAGGCCTCTGCAATAATTTCTATGGTCTGATAACTTGCCGGTTACCTACGTCCACGTTGAAGAGAACCCAAATATCACTGCTCCTCTACCAAGTCTCAATATCGCAAGGTTGCCTCCTCCACTTGAGGACTTAATCTCTAAGCCAGCTTGACCACATGCCTCTTTTCCGACCCCTATTATTAGCAGGCAGATCAAAACAATCCTTGCTAATAATTCTCAAGTTAATAGTTAACACTCTCAATTCTAAATTGTAAGTCTTTCTGTATTTATGTGAAAGCTATGTATTTGTAAAATCTAAAACTACTTACAATTTTAAAAAAATTGCTAATAACTATTATTTACTACATACAGTGAACAGAACGATGCGATCTCCTTGAGTAGTGCACGGTAAAAGCTATAAATTATTTCTATGTTTGTGTCCATCTCCGTTAACTATTTATAGAGGAGCGATCCTAAGACGTACGGTCGTCTTAGGATGACTTTAGGACAGAACGATGCGATCTTTGTATTATATATCTTGAGTAGTGCACGACAAAAGCTATCGTTTCTATGTTCTTTGTTCTTGCTCCGGCCTAGTCGAGGCACTGTGAAACTACTCAAAGTCAAAATCAATCAGCCTGTTCGTTTCGTCGTAAACAATCGTGGATTATTTACTGCTTATTGGTTTGGTGTGAGAGAAAAATACTATTCCAGCTTATAATCTACGATCGTATACGAGCAAGCGAACAGGCTGAATATCGGCAAGAAGTTTTGTTATTATTGCGTGTATTCTACGCGAGCTAATATATGTTTGCAGTTGCCAGCGTTGGAGAGAATGTATTAATCAAACTGGCGAATAAGCACCACTAGGAGTTAACGCAAAGTTAATACTGCGGTATATAGGGCGCATTTGGCTTGCGCCTACGTACGCCGCGTTGACGCCGCACCCCAGCCGAAAGTGCGGCCAAACGGGCAGTTAGGGAACCTGTGGCGACGCTGGAGGCCAGCCGAAAGTGCAGCGTCCGAGGTGTGGCGAACTCGGGCGAACTCTATGAACCAACCAAACACGCTCATATTCTCATCCACTTAGAGCTTGTTTGGGCCTCTCCTATAAGCTTTATAACTAAAGTCTCCAAACAGATAGCATAGAGGTAGCTCTAAATTTTAATCCACCTCACCTTAAATATTTAGGTCTTAAAACTGAGCTAGTGATCTAATGTTTTTAGAGCTCTAAAATTTAAACGAGAGGATCTAAACATAGACCCAGAGCATATGGATTTGCACAAGACAAATATTTAGGCATGCATGCATATATATGCACGCTGTCATGCACGGAACTTGTAATCATAGCCACGACAGCTACGTATGCCGGCATGTGTTGCCGACTGAAACTACTTTCTTACACCTAGCACCATACGTCCATACGGCGTGTAGTAGTGGAAAAAGCTTATATTAAAACCAAAGAAGATCGACCTTCGACCTGCTTAGCGGTTTGTGATACATACTCTCTGAACTATCTATATATACGGTCAATAAAACGCGATTGAATGCAATTTTGTAAGTAGAAGGCGAAGAATAATCTCCTACAACTAAAAAGATTAAAAGTAAGACTATTTTTTTGTGCGACTTTTTTTTGTCGCTCCTCCCTTCCAGCCATGCGATACACCGAGCGATAGAAAAAGAAATTGTCATCCCTGCGATCTCCGTCTACTTTGAAGGAAACAAATCGATCACCTGAGGCCACATGCATGGAAGGAAACAATAATCATGCATGGAAGGAAACAATTGGCAAAGATCAAGCAAGACTCCCCCTTTCGGCCATGCGATACCCTGCGCGATAGAAAAAGAAACTGTCATCCCTGCGATCCCCGTCTGCTTTGAAGGAAACAAATCGATCACCTGAGGCCACATGCATGGAAGGAAATAATAATCATGCATGGAAGGAAACAATTAGCAAAGATCAAGCAAGACGACTCAATTAGGTTGGCCCTTAATTTTAGTGTTTCCAGCATGCAAACCTGAAATTAAAAAGTGGTTGCTCCTTGAGAACATCAGTGGTACCAAATAAAAGATGTGCATGTTATACATGGTGAGACTAATGAACCTTCTGCAATTTCCTAAACGAATATTCCCACCATTCGTATATAGGTTCATTCCCCTGCGTTTCTTCGTGCTCCAATTAGCATATAATATGAAAGTATTGTTGTGTTCATCACGACTTTCAGTTGACTACTCACATTAGCATATATTTCCTCTGCCCCAAAATATAAGTCGTTATGGGATATGTGCAGGTCAAACTTTCTCAACTTTGACTAGGTTTGTAAAAATTACGTGCAACATTTAACAATCAATTGGTCGACTCCTGAGGCCACATGCATGTAAAAAATACGTGTATTATAATTGGTCGAAGTTAAAAAAAAGTTGACTTCTCAGGAAGCGAGAATGAATTCTATTTTGGAACAGATGGAGTATATGAAAGCAGTGTTGAAAATATTTTAACAATCAAGTTCGTCTCTGTCTGATTGGTAAGCTTAGACATCATAATGGCATAAAATTTTTTGACTCTCATGGGCACCCTCATGGATCAATGCAAAGCATCCCAATCCTACAGCATACACAAATGGCAACATTAAAGACCATCTTAGACGTTCTGGCATTAGAGTATATACGTGCAGACACATAGACACGGTGGTGCAAGTGAGCAGTCAGCAGGAGTCGAGAGTTAGGGGGTGTTTGGATCCTAGGACTAAACTTTAGTCCCTGTCATATTGAATTTTTAGATATCAATTAGGAGGACTAAACATGAGCTAATTATAAAACTAATTACATAAGTTGTACTAATTCGCTTGTCAGCGCCGTGTACAGGATGGTATGGAGATACGGGGGAACTTATTCATGGATTTGTTGGCGCACAAGAAATGGATATCGAAAATCTCTTCCTGTCGGTATAAAAAATGATCTTAGCCGCATCACGGAAAGATCTACACAGAAGAGTTTGTGAGCCTGCGACGCCATGCTCTCTGTGACTGTGTAAATTTCACGAACTTAGCTTTTTGGATTAAATGTCACTTTAACGTCGGTCATATACTTTTACAGTATTGTTATCTTATCGTGCGATCCGTGTGTTTTTAGTACAAAAAATTAGCTGTCCCGTAGCAACGCACGGGCACGAACCTATTTACATATATACTCAAACCTGTGTGTACATGATTATATGGAGATGCAGTGGAACTTATTTATAGATTTATTGGCTCACGAAAGAAATGGATATCGTAGAATTCTTTCTGCCGATATAAAATATTATCTTAGCCGTATCACGAAAAAGTCTATACAGTAGAGTTTGTGAGCCTGCGACGTCGCGCTCTCCGTGACTGTGTTAATTTCACGAACTTTGCTTTTTGAATTAAATGTCACTTTTACGTCGGCATTTAATTTAACAGTATTGTTATCTTATCGTACGATCCGTATGTTTTAGTATAAAAATATTTAGTTGTTCCGTAGCAACACACGGGCACGCTCCCTGGTTAAGTTAAGAAAAACTGAAAACCGTGTGTAGTAGGTAGGTGATTTTTTTGTTGAGGGGAGTGTAGTTGGTAGGTGATGCAATGGAAATGTCGATGCATGCTGTGCAAGAGCCGGTCCGGCCGGAGCAGCCAGCACAGCTCGGACAAGAAGACATGATTTCTCTTTCTGGGCGGTGCACTTTCCAGATGCTCCAACGGAGAACACAACTGAGTTTCCGTTTTGGGCATTGGCATCATCTGCCGATACATACATGGCCGATGAACTGAACAAGCTGCTGTCAGAACTAAACAAAGACGACTAAACTAATTCAGGACGGCAATGCATCGAGCTGTACTGAACGGAACGCTTCTGCACGCTCCGGAGCATCGGATCCTATGTACCTCACTTTACTGTGTACACGTTGTTGGCGTATGACACTACTAAATTTGGTGATAATGACGATCTAACGCGCTAGCTACTTTCCTCTAATTAATCCTCTAATCATCTAAAATTATTTTAAAAAAAAATTGACTATTAATACCCCATGAATCACGACTGATACTACTAGATTTGTTATATATGGATATAATATTTTTCGTAATATATACTCCCACCATTCAAAAACAAATCTGCATCTCGCTTTCTAAGTAGTCATAAGTTTTCTTAGATTTGACCAAATATACATAAGTTACTAATATTTATGATTAATAATAAAAATTATTAGAGCATCGTAGATATGACTACTGCCAGTTAAAAATGCACATCCCGCCACTAAACATGGAAAAAAAATTCTTTGCATCACGTATGCAGAGAGGATCTGTGCAGCATGGTTTGGATTAGCCAATCACGACTTCACAAGATGAGTCATCGCACGGTAACCAAATCATGCTACACCGAACCCTCTCTGCATCACGTATGAGAATTTTCTTCCCCTAAACACCGGGTGGGGCAGAAATGTTCTCATCAGACTCTTCACCAAACAATGACACCACAGAAGATCCGTACCCACCACCTGTACATAGACACAGGCCGAGGGAATAAAATTAGATCGCGGCCTGCAATTCAGACAGAGAAAGGGAGGGATCGGCGGCCAACTGCTTCGTTTGATCATCCGTAACAAATACTAGTATAACTCGATCGAGCCAGGACACCAGGTCAATACCAGAACAACCTGTCAGCATTACAAGCGGAATCTTCATCTCCAAATCCACGCGCACACCCCCACCGTACGTACCGTTTATACGTCCACGGCCACCACCACGGCCCGACCGGCGGCAGGCATCCTCTCACTGCCATTCCAAAACTCTCTCTCTCTCTCTCTCGTACGCGCGCGCCACAAGTACGCGGCATGTGCAACCATATATATCACGCAATATTAATCCAGCAGCTAGCATGGTAGTGCCATCGGCGTCAGGCCGGGAGATGGCGCAGGACTCGCTCCCGCTCGGCATTATCCCGACGGTGGACATGCCGGCGCCGTCCTGGCGCGGCGACCTGGTGCGCCGGCTGGTGCGCGCGTGCGCGGAGCGCGGCTTCTTCAAGGCCGTCAACCACGGCGTGCCGCCGCGGGTGTCCGCCCGCCTGGACGCCGCCGCGTAGGCGTTCTTCGCGCGCCCCGCGCGCGCAGGCGAAGCAGGGGTATGGCAGCCGGAACATTGGTGCCAACGGCGACGTCGGCGAGCTGGAGTACCTCATCCTGCACGCCGAGCCGGAGCGGTGGCGCGCAAGGCCAAGGTCATCGACGCGGAGGATCCTTCGCGCTTCAGGTATATCATATCATATCTCTGCAACTAACTGTATATATGCATGCATGCGTCGCTCCTCTCTCTACTCGATCTTTTATTTCCTTTCTTTTGTTCACCATATATCTCCTAGCTCAACGACTATATATATACTTGCTCATGTCATTGCAGTTTTTGTTTAATTTCGTCCATATTTGTTGCTGCTTAGTCTTCTACTCTGCCTATTTGCAATTTTCATATGATAATATTGTTATAATCACTTATGTATCTACATGAAAATTTATTTCTGGTACACGCATATCATCAGTGGTGAGTGGCATGGGAGATTGGGAGTATATACCATTGGGCATGAGTCAGTTTTTTTAAAATAAAAAAAGGAAAGAAATGCACCTGCCTTTTTTTTGGTCATTCTAGCAAGTGGATAAATTAAACCTGATGCGACGTCCACTGGGGAGGCAATAATAAGAGTGAAGTCATCGCGGGAAGGGATGTTGGTGGTGTTTTTTTTTTTTTTGAACGGGGATGTTGGTGGTGTTTAAAAGCTTGTGATTCTACTCCACTAGATAACTAGAACACAGCTTTGTGTTTCTGAATGCGACTAGTACAATGTAGTTTTTCCATCCCGTGCTCATTTTAACCAGTGGAATGAAAAAATTGGACATAGGATATGCTTCATAATTAAAAATATGATTAAGAGACATCAATGTAGAGGGCAAATTTTTCATATGGCAATGTAGAGATCGAGTTCTCCTCTATACTCCTTTTCTCTCTTATTATGTTCATCAATCATCACCCTCTATATTGGCATGCTATATATATTTTACTTGTTTCTTCATTGATGCTGATTGTGTATACTTCCTTCATTAATTTAGTCTTCCTAACTTCAAATGAACGACGTCTCTTGCTTAAGCAAATATTGTTATATATGAAGCTACATATGTATTGGTGCGAAATCTTTTTATTGTGATACATCCATTGTGTGCCATGCATGGTAATAATGCATGTCTGCTGTTAGCAAAGTCTTCATGTGATTCTAGCAAGTGGATACACCAGCTGTCAGCTGGGCGAGAGAAAAGTCCTAGAGCATGGGGTTTAAAAGCTTGTGATTCTACTTTCTCTAGAACATCATTATGCTTCTGAATGTGACTATAATGTAGTTTTCCCGATGTCTTAGCCAATCCAACAAAATTGTTGACAGAAGAATATATGCTTACTATGTCTGTTCCTGAAAGAATGTGATTTTAGGTTTGGGTGTCTAATTCAGACTATCTTTTAAGTCTTATTAAATTTATAAGAAAAAGTATCAGGAATAATTAAATACAAACAGGATATCTTGATGTCACGGCTAATATTTCTTATGGAAATCCACCGATTGTGGTAAATCTTGAAAACCATTGAAGAAAACAAGTTTATAATAAGTTTTCAAAAATCTCAAAAAGGCACCCTTGTGTTAAAGGAGCAACGTGGTGATGTAAAACCATATAAATAATTTTAAGCACGAATTCAACTTAGGGTGCGTTTGGAAGTGCGGGACAGTTCCGTTTCTCCCATGAAACACCATAATCGGAGCCAAACGTTTTTTGCCGATTCGTTTCTGAGGAGAAACGGCGGGAAGCGTTCCGTGATTTTTGCCTATGCCTGCGAATTGGCCGGAACCTAGTTTCACCCGATTCAGTTCCTAGCCTCTCCTCTGCACTTAACGTCTTTATTTTTTAATTAATTATTTTGAAGTGCAAAGAAATAAAACGACAATTTTATGTGGACGGGAATCTAGTTTAACAGCCAAACGGTTTCACAAAATGATTCTGATTCATCACCGAAACATTTCTACGAGAATTCAAAATCCTACCAAACGCACCCTTAGTACGTGAGATATGAAATTGGCAAAGAACAAAGGAAAAGACAAAAGCAGTGTGTTTACGAACAAAGTTGAGTTTGCTCATAAAGTATTGTATGTGCATGCTTGTATTTTTTTGTGGGTTTTTTTTTGCAACTTTATATTTTGATGTCAAGGCGAAGTTTCTTCTTGGAATTTTGGGCTTATGAAGTTTAATGTACACCATCACCTCCTCTACATATATGAGAGGTACAAGCAAGAACTTTCAAAGCTTATAAACATGTCTTTTGAAGATTTTTTTCACAAAAAAATAATAATATCCTAATACTCAAGGTGCTTGCATTGAGTGTTTCGACCACAACAGAGGGTGCAGGGTTGTCTTGCAAAGACAAACAAATACCGTCAGTGCTGAGCCTAGCTGTAGGGTCAGGGTCACTAATATAAAGTAAATGGACAGGACAGAACACAAAGATTTCGCGTATTTTATATTGTGCTAGGTGCATGTTACATACACAAGTGCACCTGCCATTAGCGGGAGAATTTTTGCCAATTATAGTTCCGAAATTTGGCATTTCTTATGTGATATTTAGATGCAATGCCACCACTTTACAAAGCTTGTTCGATTAATGCCACTGCCATACCAGTTTGAGCCACTAGAAATGGTACGGCATCCCGGTAAGAAATGGAACACATGCATCAGCCTGTTCGTTTGCTCGTAAACGATCGTAAATTTCTAGTCGGGAACAGTGTTTTTCTATCACACCAAACCTAATCCACGATATATTTTTGTATTACATAGCATTATGAGCGTAGACGATATTACAGGAATGCCACTGCCAATGGTTGTATTTAGGCCTTGTTTAAATACAGGGTGTAAAGTTTTGGAATGTCACATCGGGTGTCACATGAGGATATCGCATGGGGTGTTCGGATACTAATAAAAAAATAAATTACAGAATCCGTCAATAATCCGTAAGACGAATTTATTAAGCCTAATTAATCCGGCATTAGCACCACATTGTCAAATCATTGATTAATTATGCTTAAAAGATTCGTCTCGCAAATTAGTCTCAAACTGTGCAATTAGTTATTTTTTAGTCTATATTTAATACTCCATGCATGTATCAAACATTCGATGAGATAGGAAGTAAACTTTAGGGAAAGAACTAAACAAGGCCTTATTATATTTTATGTCGATTGAAAGCATGCAAAAAGGGCATTTCAGACCATCCAATGTAAGGACCCAAACCGTACGGACACTACTACAGAAAAGGTTTGTAGCAACGTCTTAATTTTTTTATAGGGTCGGCTGGGGATGGAGGCGCCTCTACAGTGGGCGTGCTCGGGACCCACGAGACCAACCACCCTACAAATGGCATAGTCAGGGCGGCTGGTGATATGAGTCGCCCCTACAAATGGGTCGATTTGTAGGGGCGGCTCACTCACCAGCCGTCCCCGGTGTTGCGATTTGTAGGGGTGGCTCAATCACCAGCCGTCCCCGGTGTTGTGATTTGTAGGGGCGACTCACTCACCAGCCGTCCCCGGTGTTACGATTTATAGGGGCGGCTCAATCCCCAGCCGCATCTATAAATGCACGTACAAAAGGGTGCAGCCCCCTTCTTTCTCCTCGGGTCACTCGCTCTTACCCGAGAAAAAAGGCTTGGGAGGCCTTGGGTACCTCCTAAAAATTGCTCTACTAAGAGGGAAAGGTTTTGGTCTTAAATTCTTTATAGAGAGGTTGTAGAAGGTAAGAAAATGCTATTCCACACTTTTTTTTGATGTTTTAATGGTTGATTAGTGAGTAATTAGAGTTTTACTTTTCTCTCTCTTCTATGGTGCTTAAGCTACTTATGAAGCAAATTAGACCCAAGTTTTGAATGTACTAGGGTAAATTAGGTAGGGGAACAAGATCATACCCATATTTGGTCTATGTTTCTTGATTTTAGTGAACAATTAGACTAGGGTTTATGGATGTTTCTTGTGCATGTAGATCTAGATCTAGGGTTTGATTTTTTTATTAATTTTGTTTTTATAAATTTATGTTTGATGAAATTGGACTAGGGTTTGCATGAAATATATTGGATAAAATATAATTATTGCTAATTGTTGTCTTTGAAATTGTTTATTGTAATCAACAAATATGTATTTTAATTATTTATGGATAAATAGGCCATTAATTAATTTTTCTCTACCATGATGTGTTTGTATGGTTCATGTAATTATATTTAATTTATATTCATATATATCTGAAGTATATACAATTATTCTCAAGTAATTATTAATTTGATTCATTTTATATATATCTGAATAAGTAGTCCTTTAATGTTTGTTTTGTTGTTGTAAAAGATGGAGTACAGGAAGTCTTGGATGTATGGTTCGTTAAAGTTCAAGGCAGGTTTCCGTAAAGAGGTGGATAAATTTATTAAAGCCACAGAGAAACATGCAACGACGTTGACAGCGAATAAGGATACAATTATTTGTCCCTATAAAGATTGCAAGAACCGTATAGCATGGACAGATGTGACTATCATCATATTACATTTGATTATGCGAGGATTTGTTGAGGACTACACAATGTGGATTCATCATGGTGAAACGGTTATTGTTAACGACGAGGATGAGGAGGAATACAATGACGAAACCCTAGAATCCCTATCCCAATATTCAACAGAGCTTGATGCACGAATGGATCCCGAGTTTGGTAGTGAACAAGATGGTGATGCTGCTGGTTGGGATGGTAACGACGAAGGTGGTGCCAATAATGATGGCGGAGCACGTGTCGGGGATGAAGATGATTTGGAGGACATGATTCGAGCCCTTGGACCAGAGATTTTACTAAAGAGCTCGAAAGGTCTAGAAAATTTTGAAAGGGTGAAAAAAGCATCGAAGGAGGCTATTATGGTGTTGAAAAGGGTTGTCCGACACACTGGACATTGCTACATTTTGTGCTTGAGCTACTCAAACTGAAGGCTAAGTACGGCTAGTCAGACTGTAGTTTCAATGATCTATTGCGTCTCCTA